CAAATTTATGAAGGCTATGATTATAGACAATTATAAAGATTATGATTATAGATACTTTATGTCAATGATTTCGTTTGTAAAAAACTCCTGGGAAAAATTTTAGTAGGAGATTCTAGAGGCTAAAATAAGACGAAAATCAAGAATACTAATTTGTTGATGGAGGCTTCGTTAAAAAGTTATTAACATTTAAAGTTCCGCCCGTACTGAATTTTTTTCTAGAAAGTGGGTAGGATTTCGGGGGTAGGTCTATTCACAAAAAATTATTGTAATTGACCCCTGCAATCAAAAATAATTTTTTTAGAACGATTTGAAATTTTTTAATTTTGTCGAAAAATTTCGCACCTTCTCGAATTTTTTTCTAGGAACTGGGCTGAATTTCGGGGGTTTGTCTTTACACCGAAAATGATTTTAATTGACCCCCACAACCGGAAATAATTTTTCCAAAACGATTTGAAATTTTTTAATTTTGTCGAAAAATTTCGCACCTCCTCGAATTTTTTTCTCGAAAATGGATAGGATTTCGGGGGTATGTGTATTCACCAAAAGTGATTGTAATTGACCCTCGCAACCGGAAATAATTTTTCCAAAACGATTTCAAATTTTTTTTTTCGCCGAAAAATTTTAACACCTACCCGATTTTTTTTCTCGAAAATGGATAGGATTTCGGGGGTATGTGTATTCACCAAAAATGATTGTAATTGACCCCCACAACCAAAAATAATTTTTCCAGAACGATTTGAACCCCCCCAGTGAACTCTAAAATCCCCCCATTAAAATTTTTCCTAGGGGTGGCCGAACACCCTGTATATTTCCATGAAACTTTTTTCTGAACTAGAGCTCATGGATACCCACAAAAAAGTATGAGACAACTTTTCTACAGGGCGTCAAACAAAATTACTAAAAATGAAAAACGAATTTTTAAGAAAAAGTAATCGTACCAATAATTAATGAAAATTTATCTGCTCTGCGTCTCAGAAATTAATCAAAACGATCATACATATCTTCGAATTCTGTACTTTAATTTCTGTAACATCTTCGTTCCACGCTTAATCGACACAAATAGTTTGTAATCATTGGGGATTACTTTGAAGATGATCGAACAAACAAATGAGCTATTTCATTTGACTTTTCCTGGAGCTGTTCGAACGGGGGAAGTATGCCGTGAAAAACGCCCGCGCAATATGGCACCCATTCTATATCCGCCCCCGCGGTAGCACCATCCCCATCAAAAGCATTGTGGTTTAGCGAAGCCTGCGCTCTGCCACCCACTCCTCCCCGGATACCTTCAGCGACTCTGGACTCCTGGTACGTTGCCGCCTATTCCTTTTCTTCCTTCAAAGACATCCTCCAGGTTCTATACTCTATCTCTTTAAAACATGAACCAGTTTACGGAAATCCACGGATCGTCGACTGCCGCGTGACAAATATATTCTGGGTAATCGATTCTAACGACGATAAGACGAAAGAGTCGTGGGATGCAAGTGTGCACGTTCAAATTGCGCCCGGTTTTCGAGGGTGCAATTGAGCGGAAGGCTGCATCGCGAGGTTTTCACTTGAACGAAACTGTTCGTCCCGAGCGTCCATTTATTTTAAGAGGACAGTCGTTTTGTCCGACTAAAAAGGAAGCATTTTTAGGGAATTTACCCAAACAGATGGTACAATCAACCCCATGCGAGATTATTACCATTCATTCGGTATGCTTTTGTTATTTAAAAAATATTTTTTAATCGAGGGTAGTACCTCCAACGACGAGGACATCATACTTTTTACAATCATCGAACTAAGTTAGTTTGAAAATTTCCAATGTTCATTTAGGTCTGGGTTACGCAACGTATGTTTTTCACATTAGTATTTTCACCAATACTTTCAACAATTTTCCTTTCAATCATTTTAAAATTTGATACTGCTCTCGATATTGCACGTTTATCCCAATCGATTAAACATTGATGTCCAGGACTCTTTTTCCCGCAGTTTTCAGAATTTTTCATATTTCATAATTCAGTTTTTTTTTTAACGAACGAACACGGAAAAAAGATAGTAGCCGCGTTATTAGAAGCGTTAATCTGCTGATATTTGCGGCTACGACTCTAGAGTTTCGTTGGCCGTTGTCAAGGTATTGAAACATTTATTTTCTTCGATTTGCATATGGAAAAAATATACGAAATGGGTTTCTTTTGTCCTGGAACGTATACGGATCGCGTTGCATCCGATGGAACTTGGAGATCGATTGGGCGAAGCGACGAATCAACAAAGGGGTTCGTTCGCGGCGAACCTCCCTCGTGCTTGTTATCCTGTGAAACGGGCGCGCATTTCAGTATCACCTTCCTCGTCGGGGGCGTCCCGCGGATACATCGGGTCCCGAGGGAATCGGAAGGATTTCGGGGGTGAGCGCACCTTGAGTCCTCTCCTGGCCGCCTGGTACAGCAGTCCCGGATTTTCGAGCAGATTGGCAGTTTTTTTTAACAGATTGGCATCCCAGATTGAAAGATCCGGACAGGCGTCTGTTCCGGTATCTTCGAACAGCGACGTCGATATCTAGCCGCGTCCCGCAAGACACGAGGATAATCACTCAGGAGCGATGAAGTTCCGTCGATCAGAAAGTTGTTTCGATTTGAAAAATCGAATTTCGGCTCTTAACGAATCGTTCTCTAACGTCTTCCTTTTTCCCCCTTGTCGATTGTGCACGCTCGTTGTGTCAAAAGCACTTTCATCGTCCTCCACGCGTCTGCTTATAAACAGGAGGGCATGTTGCGTACAGAGTACGCGTACCTAACCGCCCCCAACCCCCATGCGGACCACCACATTCTCTAGAACAGCGATTTTCAACTGTTTTTATCGCGCGACAAATTCCTACGTCAAAAAATGTATCGAGTCGAATCGAAGAAAGACACGATCTTAACCCTTGTGTCAATAACCGGTTACCAAACTACCCTTTTCTATGTTTCACTAAAAATTTGTTAATGTTCTTGTTATAATATCGCAAAATCGCTTTGAATGCTCGTTCTCCAACCAATCCTACGTTGATTTGCGTTTTAAAAATAAAAATTTATGAGTTCTGGCGCTTTGCGTAGCTTCTGGGATTCGAGGAAGAAGTAGTTGATTCTAATGGTCTCCCGCAATGGTGAATGTCTTTCATTGGAATTTATTTATGAAGTAGAGTTCATGAATATCTACAAAAAAGTATTAAACAATATTTTCGTAGAGCGTCAAACAAATTTTTAACGAAAATAAAAAGGTTCAAATCATTCTGAGAAAATTATTTTTGTTTACGGGGGTCAATTACAATAATTTTTAGTCATTAGATGTACCCTCGAAATCCTACCCACTTTCGAGGAACAAATTCGAGAAGGTGTGAAATTTTTCGACAAAATTAAAAAATTCAAAATCGTTCTGAAAAAATTATTTTCGGCCGCGGGGGTCGATCACAATCATTTTTGGTGAATAGACATACCCCCGAAATCCTGCGCATTTTCGAGAAAAAAATTCAATGCGGGCGGAACCTTAAGTGTTAATAACTTTTTAACAGAGCCTCCATCAACAAATTCATAATCTTAATTTTCGTTCTATTTTTGCCTCTAAAATTTCCCATTACAATTTTTCCCAAGGGTGGCCGAACACCCTATATATAAAGTATCATAACTTCTGAACGGATTGGAGGATTTTAATGTTTCGAAATGCAAACAGCGCGTATTTTGGTGAAGAATATTTAGGAATTCTAAAATTGTTCGAAAAGTCGTTCCTTAACCCAATAAAGTGAGAAAGCCTTCATTAAAATGGTCCAATTCTCAAACGACTATAATTCCTACAATAATGAGTGTATTTTATTGGTCCTAGCAAATTATAGTAATTTCATTTTCTGTCTCACTTCCTCTTGTGTTCATTTCAATGAAGAAATTGAGCCGACAAAATACATTGGATGTAAGGTCTACTCGTATACTTCGTCCGTGGTTGTATGCCCTTATTCTCCCATATAAACAAGCTTTTTGTTCTCGGGTCATTTAAAGGACAATTGATCATATACGAGTGAATTTATTTTGTCAAGAACACGCACATTAGCGTCCCTCTAGATGTACCTCTCTTATAGGCTTATAGAGACAGAGCAAACGGTCTGTGAGAGGTACTGACGACGACATCTAAAGGACAAAGATATGCATGCGGATAACCTATCTTCCGCTCGCGAAGGCAGTAGGGAGGGAATAGCAGGAAAGTAGGGGCCTATTGCTCCTTCTGTCCTCAAAAATGTCCGCGCTCTCAACGTTACGCCGACGTTATTTTGTCCCCTCCACTCGATTCTCCCACTATCGGTTCTATGCGAGAAAGATAGGTTGCACGCATACGTAGGTACTACATATTTCTGTATTTTAGGCCGGGGCACACGAGCGTCGAAGCGACGTGTGTTTCTATGTTCTTCCTTGTCTTACAATTGAAAACAACGAAGACAGACAAGATCGGCGTTCCTATGTCTTTTCAATTGTAAGACAAGGATGGACATAAAAACGAACGTCGTTTCGACGCTCGTGTGCCCCCGGCCTTAGACGCCTTTGATGTCGGCGCTTGCATAAAAGTGCTCGGTTTATAGTCTATGGTCGAATCGTCGCTTCTTTCTGATTGGCTCCGCCATTTCCTGAGAAATTTCCACCCATTTTTGGGGGATAATTGTTATTTACAGTATAGTAGTCTTATTTTTCATCATACTAAGCTATATACTCCAAATTTCATGTAACGCGTAAAATAAATAATTTATTTTCTTTACAGGTAGAACAATATTACTTAAACATGCTTCAGAGTTAAAAATTATCTTAACCCTTGGGTCATTCCCTTCCTTAGAATATTTTAACACCCTAACGACTATACTTATTTTATTCATAATTAATTTTGTGTAATAAACTGCATGAAATAAATATAATTACACAAGGTATTCGTTACTTTACGTTAGATATTATTTTTAAGGGGACATTAGCTCTTTTCATACCAAAAGCCATCTAGTTTTCACATTTGTAAAAAAACAGCTGACATTTTGTCATGCACTTTTTATGTGCTTTCGATGTCATTCTCGAGTTTTGTAAATAATGCATAATTATGAACAAACATTGCACAGAACTACAAGTTCATCAATTGTCGAAAGTAAATGCAATAATAGTAAGTATTTAAATAGTGTCATAATATTTAATGTTTCAAATATTCAGTCATTCGTGTTGTGATTGAGAATGACAGTATCAGTGTGTACTACGTAGTAGAATCTCTGCGTAGTATGTGGTATTGTTGTGTCGTTATTTGTGCAGTCATGTTGTAAACAGTTGAAAGTGAAGTATGTACTCGATGAACTATCATTTTTGTTCGACTTTTTTATTGTTTATCAGCGAATAATTTTGATGAGTCCAAATTCCATAGAAATCAAGAATGACAAACGTTTTTAACATATATTAATTGTGCGTTTCACTCGTTTCTTTAGTACTAATTAAATGTATTTAATATAATTTTTTCAGTGACGTCGATTACTATACTGATCCTTATTTTTGTTATAATTGGTGTGACAATAGTATTAAATTGTATACAATGTTCGTTTCGCTTTTGGGGTGAAAATTGAACATAAATAAGTTTTAACAGAAGTAACTTTATTGAATAATATAGGCGCCATTTTGTTCCACTATCTTTCGAAATTATCTTTATCTTTAAAAATTTTTGATATTGCATTAAAGAACTTAAATAATATTTACTAATAAGAACAATATGTTATAATGTTCACAGTGCTAAAAACAAATGAAAGTATTCAAGACTTTCATCAGTTTCTAAAATCCTGTAAACAATGAATGTAGCTACAATACTTTTGGATTTATGCTATTGCAATATCATCTATTAAAAAAATAGAAAGAACTTTGTAAACAACCTAATACCTTAAATTCTTTATCCTGTAATAAGAACAATATAAATTTTTGTAGTTTATATTAATTTTCTAATGATATTTATTTTGCAGAATAATCAAATGTGAAAATAAGTGAAGTAAAATTAATCAGAATCACTTTGCAACCATGGAGTCTGATAAAAAAGAAGTGTCTTCCCTCCAAGAACAAGATTCATGGAAATCATTAAGCATTATCTCAAAATTATCTCTTGAACCAGAAACCCGTTTGCAAAGTCTTGGTTTTACTACGAATAATGGAAAGGCTAGATTTATATTAGACGATGATGCACATCTGTATTCGAATCCTACATTAACAAATTTTAATGTTGTTGACGAAAGTGATTCATTGTCCTTTGTGGTATTAGGAAACAACTCATTGGATTGCATTCAAGCATCCTCGCTTGCATGTTATATTGATATTCAACAAAAAGGCATGTCACTTGTATGTATCTATTGTACGGTTCTTAATTAAGGGGCCATTCTACCTTGTAGGCATGAAAAATACGTGTTTCTTTGTGATTTTTTTTTGCGGGTTATTAAAGAGCGATTAATTCCGGATTTTGTAGATACATTTATTATATATTTAGCTATATTTACGAATTTTTGCAACGCATAATATCTATTGATTACGCTGTTTTTGTTGATCATCAAACAACAGTTTTTACGAACGGCACCCGACTGCGTACGTGATATCTTGCGAATAAGTTATTCGAAATCCTAAAACCAACGATATTCTTAATATAGATGAGTGTGGTTACAGCATGAACTAGGATCTTTTCAAAAAAACAAAAAATGGCAAAATGGCAGCTATTTTACGAAAAAATACTGAATATTTTCATATATTTGGTTGCTTTTTTGTTAATAAAAGAAAAAGTATTGCATATATCGCAATTATCCTAGTTCATGCTATAGGGAGACCAGTTCTGAAGATACTGTATAAATTTGATGTTGATATCTTGAATAGTTTTTTAGTTATCACGCACGCAGTGCCGAAAAATGTAGTTTCGAGAAAAACAGCATTAAAGATTCACGTTCAGTTGTTATACCTGCGCGCGGTACATTTCAGCAGGCTATAACTTCGTTAGTTTTCCGAATTTCAATTTAATATTTGGTAGACATATTTTCGAGACTACATACTAAAGGAAAATGCAAAAAAAATATCGATTTTTTTAATCCCACAAGGTAGAAAGGCCCCTTAATGTTTCAAATTTTGTAACATCATTAAAAATTTATTTTTGCATATAGGATCCTGGCACTATGGTAACATCATGGGAATCCACGGAAGTGCATGCAAAATTAAATGAATTATTGCAAGAAAATTGTAAATTAAAGGAAACATTGAAACAGAACAATGTTGCTATGAAGCAACAATTTAATACTCTTGCTAGTTGGCAAGAAGAAATCATGAAAGTGCATCAAAATCATAAGAAAAAGTTCTCTGAAACCAAAGGATTAATAAATTATCTTAAGAAGGAAAATACAGAATTAAAAATAAAACTTTCCACTGCGTACATTAATAATCCAGAAATGGAATATGAGGTATGCTATATTACATTATTTTGTATTCTTCCTATTTACTTACATTTTTAATTCATTGTAGGTTTTAAGTATGAACGAAATACGTGACAGTACAAAAGAAAAAGAAACATCTATTCCTGTAATTGAACACCAGGAACAAGTATGTTCATCAACAAATGAGTTAAATACTTATAAATTGAAATGCAAAAAATTATCCTCAGACGTTGAGAATTTATTGAGTATGTCGAATTTAATGAGTTCTCAGTTACAGCAAGCTACTTGTACAATACAAGAACAAAGGCTCAATATAAAAAAATTGGAGCAGCAGACTGCAATGTTGCAGTCGAGCAGATCAAATAATTCTAACCAATCTCTAATTTATAATACTTCTAACAATTTTGAAAGTGTAAATAATTGCACCGAATGTGATAAATATTTAACAAAAGATAAAGAAATGAATTCTTTAAAGAAATCGGTTCTTGTGCTTGAAAATAAATTGCAACATGTAAGTATTTCAATGAGCGTATAAAAATTTATTTTCGAACGTAATACTTATTTTCATAAATATTTTTAGGCTACTGAACCTGTACAGTTTTGTGTTAAAAGTTCTGTGAATCTTAACAAATGTTATCAGGCATATACTGATAAAGTACGGCACTACAACGAGAAGATGCAAGATTTAATAACTTGTTTCGATAAACAAATTAATCATTCTACTCTCATAGAAACATATTTGAAAGAATTTATAGAAGTTTTTGAACTTCTAGAAACATTTGACTATAGTGTGATATTGGACAGCGAATTTGATTTCCGCCATAAAGTTCAAATTTATTATAAAAAGTTTAACGAAGAACGACAGAAAATTATCGAAAATAAAGAAAATGCATTTACAGTACGAAATGAATTGGATAAAGCTTTGTTAGATTGTTATTTTCTTCTACATGAACTGGAGGCAATACTAGGGGATAAAACTGAAGGAAGTGTAATGAAACGTAATGTGTTATCTGAATCAACTGAAAAAGTTACAGAATTAAAAGAACAAACTATCGACGATAAACAATTACTAGAACAAGAAAGGATTTCACTTGTTAAAGAGAAGGAAGGTCTTGAAGAAGAAAAAAGGTTATTTAGTCTACAAAAAAAAGATCTCGAAATTGAATACAAAATGTTGAACGAGGGGAAGGAACAGTTGCAACAGGAGAAATTAGATTTATACGATAAAAAATCGTCATTTGATCATCTAAGTGCATTGTATGAAAATGGTTTCAAAGAAACGTTAGAAACAGAGAAGAAAAACTTTGAAGTAAAATATAATACTGTAGTTACTGAAATTGGTATTTTGCATCAAAGTATAGAAAGAAAAGATTCTGACTTAAAAGAACTGGAAAAAAAAATGGATCAATACGTAAGTAATAACTACGAAATAAAATTTCTTGTCATAGATATGGTTTGTTTTTATTTTTAATGCAGATTGAAAATAACAATGTGCTGCAAACACAATTAAAGCTTTATGAAGAAGATTTTAAACAGGAGCACAAAATGAAAGAGTTATTATTGGCAGAAAAGGAAAGTCTAAATACAGATTTACAGAATCAAATAAAGTTCACTGTAGAATTATACGAAAAATTGCGGACGACTAGTGAATCTACAACTCAGGTACGTTTTTATATTGTCTTCTATAATTTACAAATATAAAATCAAATTATCAATCATCAATGTACATAATGAAAATCTAATTTTTAGATCACAGAAGCTCAATTAGAATTCCCCATAATATCCGCGCTTTCGTGTCCAAAATGTAATTGCAATTTCAGAAATATGCAATCTTTAGAACAACATGTTGAAGTTTGTTTGAATTTTGACTAGCGTGAAATCTCGCAATATTATTTATGCCTAACAATTGTTAAATCGTTAATATAAGCAGTAATGTACTATAATTATAATATACTATATATTAATAAATAGCAGTATATTAATATGTAATATAATAGTTGAAATATATAAATTTTTATGTATTAGACCATGTAAACAAGATTTAAAAAATAAAATTATTAATTTTTCTGTGTTATTTAAAAATTGAACTTTTAATATTAAAAATAAAGTATGTCATTTCAGTTATACATATTAAACGACTTTTTCGCGTTGAAAAATATTTCGTTTTCATAGTAAAAGAATACTTTCTAAAGTTCATACATGCATGTAAAGTAGCTGCCTAAACAAAATGTTAGAATAAAATCAACAACCCCACAGGTATAACCGATTGTAAGTTTCCAGATACAATTTTTGTTTTAATCTTATTGTGAACTATATTTACAGTATAAAATTAATTTCTCATACGTCGTCAATTTTTAATTCGAATTAAACAAATGCATTATACTTTATTTTACTAATATAAAATTTCGTTTTACCTAGATGATGTTTTCTTTAAAGATGGTCTTCATTTGTAACGGTCACTAACGGTCCAAACGAAACTGATCGCAACAGGGCCGTATTGGTAAAACACTACTCCCAGAATACACACAAAAAATGCAATAGTAATAAATCCTTTCACAATTCCCCATGCGCTATCTTAACGAATTGAAATACACAAACGTATCAAATAAAATAAAAAAATAAGAATATATTGAAAGCTACGTAAATATATGAAATCATACAAAATCTAAAAAAAATAGTTATATATAAAGGTAAGTTGCTTTCATTAATATTATTAATAATATTGTCGAATTTCCAAATTTCCGTGTCAATTTGAATCATCGAGATCTCTACAATTGTAATTATACATATTTCTTTTCGATATGTTCCAAGGAACAATTTTTCAAATTATGATATCGCAGGGAGACACTAGTCTTAACTATAATAACTACGTATTTATCGAACTTTCGAATTTTGTATTTTCTCGACTATTAAGAGAAAAGAAATGTTACTACTGATTCAAATTTGATTTCCCTGATTTTCACTTATTTCTCGATATTTTGTATTTTTTATCTTGACGTAGTTTCAGTACGTTCGTAAAACTCGCAGTTTAATTAGTAATGGCGGATGTATGTCGTTTTTTTCGAACGCGCATGCGCAATACATGCAGTTGTTTTGGCACCACTGGTGCTGGGTCAATTTGAAATTGTTTTCCGTTGTAGTTTATCATTGAACGGTTTGTGTTGTATGTTGATTTTAAGTTAATTTATATGAAATAAAATGTCATTTCTTCGACAAAAATATAAGGAGAAATCTTTCGGTTTCGGAAACATAAAAGAGGGTCGGTCTATTCGCGCCGAAAAACAAAGAGAGCTGCGTAAACATCGTAGAGCTAACGCAGTAATGGAAAATAGGAATATATTAAATGCGTCTACTACATCAGAGAGTAAAGGTTTGTAAAATTACTCGTGTTTAACGTATCTTTTCTGTACATTGTACACAAATAGACTCAGTTTGCTTACAGGTCAATAATTTTCATTTATATCTACTTATGTTTATTTTGTGGTTACATTTTATTTCTAGAACCAGAGGTACCTGATAACGTACAACGTCTTACAATTAAACTTCTAAAATGGAAGTCTGAACGCGATAGACATAAAAGAATGGAACAAGCAAAGAGAAGGCCTCCCTTTATTGTTGGTTTAGTCCATCATAAATTATATTCTCCAGCTAGCAAAGATGAAAATATATTCGTGGGAAAGGCACTGAATCGAAAACTACCTGTGGCATCTACCCCTCCTCCAAAAAGAATTACTAGAGCCACGCAAAAGAGATTATTAAATAAAATGAATGCACAGAGTACAATAACACCTGTGACAACGGTTTCTAATTCCAATGCCACTAAGAAGCAAAAGGCTAAAAAAAATGAGCAGAAACAGGAAACTACAAAGAAACAAGAGCCTTCCTTTGCTCCGCCTAATTATAAATTTAAACTTTCAACAGGATTATTATTTGGTCGAGTACCTATAGGAAGTATGTCACCTATGACATTGAGCAGTACCATGTTATCATCTTCAAGAATGACAAGGGCAAGTAAAAGAAATAGTAAAAGAAATAGTACTGCAAAATTTACTGGGGACAAATTTAATGACCAACAATACAATGCATCAGCGATATTTGATAAGAAAAAGGGTACAAACGTTATGAACAAGGCCTCCGTTGAAATCACAAGATTAAATGTTTCATATGACCAAAAGAAAACATCTAATACATTAAATGATAACGACAACATGAATAATACTATCACAATTGATGATAAAAATGATAGCAAGAAAAGAGAAGAAAATAACAAGTTGTGTAATAACAGTACTAAAGAATCTCATATAACACTTAATAATAATGCTAAAGGAGCATTATCTTCCTCAAATAGTAATAAACCTACATCTGCACACTCTGATTCTCTTAACAAACCAGTGTTCTTTTCACCATATGTAGTTTCCAGTCGTGGGAAAAGTATTGCTAGGAAAGAGCAACAGTTGAAACGTGGTTTAAGTCTTAATTCTTCAGGAAATGACGATATTCCTACAAAAGATACTGTTATGAAAAATTTAAATATTTCGATCGAGGAAGAAGAGCGCACTGCGCAATATTTTCAGTTTCTTCTAAACAAGGAAATAGATAGATTAAGCGAATTATGCGAGAAATGGGAAAAGGTGAAGGCAGAGTCCACAGAAATCGCAGAAGATGCACAATACCAAATTAATCAGGCTGTTGGACAAACAAATTTGCTAATAACTAAAAAGTTCGAAAGATTTCGCAATTTAATTTCCGACTGTGAAACAGGAAAAGGTGAAATGTTAGTTACATGTAGAGACTTACAAGGATTTTGGGACATGATGTACATGGAAGTAAAGAATTGTGATTTGAGGTTTGAAAAATTAGAACGACTCTGTTCGCGAAACTGGGAAGAAGAGGAATCGTCTGTCATTGTCAAGCCGCTTGTTAAAAAGAAAACGGCCGCGATAAAAAAAGTTGTGCCTACAAGGTCAAGTTCAATTAGGGCATTTTTGGCAAAAAATAAAAAGAAACAAGAAACAAGTGTTGAAAGCAGTACAAAAGAGGCTAAAATTATAAGTAATGAAGTTTCAATTGATAAACACGGATTGAATGAAAGCAGTCCCAATGTAAAGTATAAAAGAAGATCTATAGCAATTGATACGAGCGGCAGGAAATTGACACCTGCCAAATACAATAGAACAAGAATGAGTCAGATACAGAAAGTGCAATTATCTGAGACCAAAAAATTAACATCCCCTTTGGTAGTAATAAAAATAAGTCGAATGTGTAAAACACCGGAATCATCTTATTTAAACTCTACTCAAACACCAGGAAAAAGTATATTGAAACTACCAAAGGATTCAATTGAAGTGGAACCTCATTCAAAAATAACTCATAAAGTAAATTTCGATGATACTATAACATTAAATGAAATTTCAACTGACGAAGAAAAGCAAAGAGACACGGATTTAACTACGGCTAGAATAGATAATTTTAACTTCGATTGTTCCGAAGACGGTGTATCGATTCACGCGGCAAAGAAACTAAATTTTAACGATAATGGTATTAATGAACCTGAAAATATATTTGATGAAATGCAAGATTCTGAAAAAGAAAACACATCAGTTCCAACTATACAAATACAGTCTGCAACACCGTTACATGGATCTGTATCGAATAATAACTTAAACGCGTCGCGACGAAGAAGAAACATCGAGCGGCAAAATGCTTTCGATGAAAATGACGAAATATCTGATGAAACTACACCATTGAATACTACAGTTTCCATACCATTTAAAGAAATTACAGACGTTGCAGATCTAAATATATTGGAAGAAAAATCAGAGAATCACATGCCTACAAATGATGAAGAGAAAGTAGATAATGCTAATGAAAGTGCAAGAGTTTTGAGAACTAAAACAGTTACCCAAGGAAATCTACCTCAGCATAAGAGAAGATCTTTGCGGATATTATCTCTAAGTGTAAAAGAATCAGAGCACAAAGAAAATAAAATTCCTTTGGAAACGAGAAGAAGTTCGAGCATCAATATCAAAGATAATGATAAAATCGATTCAAAGATAGATTTAGAAGATGCACTTGATAATATGAGTTTAAATCAAAGATGTGAGAGGAGAAGATCGAGAAGGAGCGTTAAATTTATTGGTAAAGATGTTCATTAATATAACAATTATTATTTTTAATAATAAATCAGGAGGAAATCCTAACCTATTAAACAAAATTCGCGTTACTCTTTAGGTAGGATAAATAAAAAGATTTATGAGCTTTTTTCTGAACTTTTATTAATAATAAACATAATTAATCTAGTTACAGTATATTGTAAAACAGTCTAAATTAATAATAAAAGATTTATATGCATTTAGCATCTTATAATCTACATTCAGATTTTATTCTCATGATCGATAAGGAGTTTTAACTTTGTTAAATATACTGGTTAAAGTTACAACAAATATACAAATTTTAATTTTCAATGGTGTTGACAAATTTTATATTTGGTTTAATAATTTCTGATTATAGATTGCAGTGTTTGTATAGAAACAAAACCGGTACTTCCCATGACTCCTCATGTTAGACGGAGCAAAACACAGTCTAAAGAAAAGGTACAGAGTATGTACACGGAAGGTGATGTGCCAGAAGAAACTTCAGCAAAAGGTAATTTCAGTTTTTAGCTTTTATATTCTACCTATATGTATATGATCAGTGGCAAAAGACTTATCGAATCTGCAATTAAAAAATTTAGACATTTGAATTTAGAAAATCGAACTGGGAAATATGTTAGAAATATAAAAACACTAACGATTATCTTACGACCGTTTATTTAAAAAACTATAAAAACAGTAGCGAACGAATAAAATTTCCAACGAGAAAGTCCGAGAGAATATGAAAATATTAAAAAAATTTTGCTATATCGATAATAACAAGTTTTTAGATATTAAATTTTAATTAAAATTAGGAAAAATTATACAAATTGCATTATTCTTCAAAAACAAATATTTTTCTTTCGTGTTTTGGAGTAATACGTTAAAGAGTCAACAAATATGGAGCTCCGGACTTCTAAATAGAGAAGTTAAAGCTTCTGCTATTAACTGGATCCAGCTACAAATCGATAAAACCTTTATTTCAGCTCCTACACGAGTCAGAAGATCACGAAACAGGAAAGTATCGTCCGTTAACTTTGAATAATTATTTTAATCGCAGACTATATTTGTAACAAGTTTGTTACAATTATGTAATCGTGCATTTACGTAATATTCTTAATTTTAACACTTTTTAAGTTCTTTTTATTGCAAAGACTTCGTTGATTGTTTAAAAGAGCACGACTAAACATATGCAAGCAATTTATTGTAAAATAAGTATGGCGAAATAGTTTTTAATAATACAAAGATATCGATTTATGAACTAACATTTAGAAAGCTATACACAATTGTATAATATTTTTACGAATAAAATTCAATTATTTGATACAGTACGAAATGCAAATATACTTTCGTACGAGCATGAAGTATAGATGGTTAAATGGAGATTTAATTCGTGTGTTTTATTTATTAATCTGGGTTTCAGTTAGGTCTGGGTTACAGTTAGGTCTGGGTTAATTCGATATTACCAGGTGCGCAACATGCGTTTTTAAATAAACGTTAAATTTAGTACGTACGCCAATGCTTTCAAATCATCGTTTTATCTTACTCGATTTTAATGTAGCCCATTTCCTCTCTTCGTTACATAACCGATTTGTAGATTTGACCGCGTTTTCCATTTGTAATTTAAATGATCCGAGATTTGTTTACTTTTATTCTTTTAACGCGAATCATTGGTATCGGGAAAACATGCGACAAGATTGATGCTACATCATTTACCGTATGGCGCTAAGCGAAGTTGACGTAGCAACTTTTGATACTACTTAAGGTCTGATCCTTGAGGCAACCATACTACTCGTGGCCTCAACCGAGTAGCGTTAGGCGGAGTTGATCATGATAGGGATCATAGCTGGGTTGGAAGTCTCGGAGGATTATTAGATTCTTACCGCTTCATTATCTTATAATACGCTTCGTTTTAAGGAAACTACATCGCAAAAAGAAACATAAGGAATCTTACATGTATATGGGATAACGAAATAATTATTCGATGAAGATTTTTTTGCTTATTCGTTTATTTAAATTATAGTTAATACAGAAGGATCCACGAGTTCACGACTTTATATTACACTAAGTGGCCTCGTATTGCATACAATTGAAATCATCTCAACAAATGCTACCATGTTATAAATAAGAAGATACAAAGTTCCGTTTAACAAAATTAATTTGACTTCGAAGTCTTCCATATAAATGTCCCCTTAAATGCCAAAGAATTTTTGTAACATTTTTATATTAGCTTCAGTCTTTCGCGAGATATTCCACCGTTCTTACTTAAAGGAAACACCTTGTACATGGTTTCGTAATTATGTTTTAAGAATGGGTCAAAGCAAATGCGTGTCCGAGGCAAGACGGCCATCGATCGATAGGCGATACTGTTTGTTGAATAGAAATATATTATTTATTGTATGACAAAGTAAAACATCGACTGAATGTCTAATTAAACGATTGAAATTAAACATTAATCGATCCTCATTTTTCATGGATATAAAGGATGGAGTCTTATCCTGCAGCGTTGAAACCAAAGATGGAAAGGAGAAATGGCTTTCGACTATTTGATTATGCTAAAGATTGTGGTGCCCTCTACGGGCGGATATAGTTACTAGTATTGGCCGTAAGAATCAGGAGGAAGTTATTTGCTAGATACAATTACAATTTATTTGTGAATAACAATAATCATAATGCAATAATAGTAATAATTTTCACATTTCATACACATGTAACTAATATAACAATTTAACGAAAATTATTAAAATTTAGGTCCTGAGAAATAGATACTTAAAAAAAGGAAATGAAAAGAAATAAACATTCTGGCTCTCGAGAGTTTCAAGTTTCGAAATCTCACGGTTTCAGGGAGTTTTGTGAATTCAATAATTAGGTTTCGATCAATTTCAATGTTAATAAATTAAAAACAATATTGAAGTTTTCTTAAAAACTTAAGAAAGGTCGATGTTTTTGTGTCACCCGGTATAATAACTACATATCCAGTGAGGCTTATTGATATACCTACACGGGAATCACCGACATGTGCAGTGAGCTATATGCCTAAGTCTGTAAACGATCGCGGCGCGTATAATTTATGAATTATTATTTTGTACTATAATGTTGGCTCCACTGTATGCGCGGCTGTTCAAGCCACATCAATAGGGAGTCCCATCTTGTTGGAATCTGAGATAAAAAGCACTCCCATTGGCGTAATGTCTCAAAAATACGTTGTTCAATGTCACTGAATTATCGAACATCCAAAATTTATTTGAAAAAAACTACGAATGAAAAAGATTTCTACTTGATTTACCGTTGTAAAATTTGTATTACAATCGAAAAAGAAAACGCAATTCAGATTGCAAATAAATTGTAAAATTTCACTTACAACAAGAAGAATAGTTACTTCTTTTTTTATCAAATAGTGATACTAATTAATATAACATAAATTGTGCCCACCAGTTTGAGAAACATAGAACTGAGAAAAACTTAATTAAAGTTTTGCAAAAAGCATCTTAAATCACAAAGTACAAGCTGCCCCTCTGTCAGCGAAATAATTAATTGAGACATTAGTATAACGCTTTAATAGATTTTGTTTCTTCCATGCTTCGTTTCATTTGAAGTGATACTTTTTATAACTTTGTCAATTTTACAAGCTGCCCGGTATAATTTCAGAGATACATATACAGACAGAATATATATTTCCAGGAAATGCAAACAAAAATTCGATTTTATGAAACTTTATAATTGGAAAGGACCCAATCCAGCCGGGCCAAACCTTTAATGGGTTTAACCAGCTGCCGGTCCCGTGGAAGAGAAACGCGTTAGCTTGTCACAAATTAATATTGAGGTTGAGGGGACAGGGGGGTGGTACTGCGTTCAGGACACGATCTCGGGATCGAATCAAACGATGCACCGTCTAACCCAGTGGTCTCCAAACTTTTACAAAGGCGTCCCCCCCAATGAAAGGGATAATTTCCGCACCCGAAATTTATAGATAATGAATTTTTGATACGTTCAATTTGATCGAGTCATCCACTCGTTCGATATAAAATATTGCTTACAGAAATTCTCTGACCAAACTAAGTAATTGCTTGCAAATTGCAATATTTGCCTACGTGCATTACAAATAGTGTAATATATACAAATCTTTTAAACGAATAGTTATATTTATCAAACGAGATAAATGGTATTTTTGCGATCAATGTATTTAACCCTCCGTAGCATGAATTTTATTTTATCTTTTGAGGAAGAAACGATTAAAATATCGTGTGCAAATCCTGGAAAATCACCTCGTCGAGGATCGTTTTTATCGCGTAGCCAATCGAGCGCATTATGCAGCGGATGATCAATAGAAACAGATGCGTAAGAGGATTCGCGTTTTGTTCCCGATTTAATCAACCGAGTATTGCTTTTTGCCGCGGTATCTGGCTAGATCGGATCGCGATTCACGGGTCAATGGTTACGCCAATGGAGCCGCGCGAGAAACGTGGCAAAGCTAAGAGCCAGGAGAAAGCCAACCGATGGCGCGGCAGGTAGAGACGAGGGCCGAGCTCCGTGTATACTATAATTACGAGTAACTCAGCCACATTTGCGTTGATCCGACACCTTAAAGATAACATTTAGCGGCCCCTTTTATCTCCGTGGCAAACAAACCAATTTATACCTCAGCTCGCTTTGTGCTCCCTCGCTCTCCCTCGCTCGCCCTCTCCTCCCCCTCCCACTTTGTCCCTCTCTCTTCGAAAAAACCGCCCCGAACTACGAATTAGGAGCATCCTTCTCCTTTTACCACCTTTCCGTGCCTTCTTTCGCGCTCCTTTTGCTCCTTCGTCATCCTTCGCTGTGTTGTTCTTGTTCTTGCAGTCGTGTTCCTCTTCTTGTTCCGCCACTTTTTCTTTGGATTTACTCCTGTTCTTGTTCTGCTATTTTGTTTCTCTTCTTCACACTGTACTCGTCGGTGGGTTTATCCCCTGTTTTCATTTTCCTCGACCCGCTTTCTCCAGCGTTACCACCCCCCCTGAATAATAAGAAAAGGGCGCAGAAAATGCTCGTTAACCGTTCCGTTTACCTCGGTTACACGTTTATACTCTCTACGTTATAGCGACCCAACGTGTTGCAGGGTGATATTTTAGGTGGATAATGGGGAAGCACGTGATTAATGTTACTCATTATACGTAAAATTAAACGTAGTTATTGAATATACAGTTCAGAATGTATTATAACATTGTACCTAGGAATAAAGTAGATAATAGTGCTTACTACAAAATTGGGGCAATATTTACTGCATCTATAATGTTACATTACGGTTATTATTCAAATTTGAAGGACAGAGTTTACATTGAAAAGGCCGGAAGACCTTCCACTTTATGGAAGTTAGTATTACAGAAACTGAAATACCGACGTGGTAAAAAACTAGTGGTTTTCGAGCGACCTCTTCGATTAAAAGACGGTGAGTTTGGGAACTATACCCAACTGAACCACCGAAATCGGTAAGGTTAGCAAACGTAAAAAGTATCTTCCAATAGGGGTACAGGGTTGCCATTATTAGCATGTGCAGGATTACCATCTTTTACAAGTAGTTATAAAATATATTCTAAATAACAAAACAGTTAAGTACAACCTAATTACACGTTATTTATAAATAGTTGATCGTATCCTTTAAATTCTGTATTGTGTCTGAATGACCAGTTTCTTCATTTTACAATACAAAATGAATTTTAAATATTCGTATGTGTTAGGATTAATTAGCATAAATTAGTCTTAAGTTGGTACGATTGTCAAGAGAATGGGGGGTAAGAATGCGGAAAGGAAACGGCAGCATGAGGGCCTTTCTTCTCGAACGAGAGATTGCAAAGTGTAAAAATAAAACTAATCGTACTATAAATTTTTATTAATTACGTAATTTTCTCAGTCATTGATTACATTGATTGCATTATTTTTTTTTTGTGAAATACAGAATAAATAATTTACGAATAATCGTATCGACGAAAATCAGCTGTATACAAATTGAAAATTAAATTGCCAATTTGTTCAATGTTCTGAATGAAAATATTGAACAGACAGGGGTGTCCAAGATTTTATTAGCCAAACTTTGTCAGCGTGTTTTATGGATTTAAATAAGAGAATTTGTTGTACGGAGCCTTAATTAAAATTTATGATGGAAATAGTATTCGAACCGAAGAGACGCGTGCCTAAATTTGGGTCTGGCCTTCCGGATATC